TGCTAACAGAATACATCCGTTGAACCACTCAAACCTGTGATTAAAAGTTACACATGTCAATTTAAAAATGTTTGCAGAGATAGGTAGTTTTCTAGCATTTTTTAGGGGGTGTTGGTAAAGAAAAGTTTGAAGACCACCACTTCATATCATTGTCTTCCCAACATTTCTGCTCATAATCCTTATATTTCTAGATACTTTACAACTTTGAACAATAAAAAATGTAGGCATCATTTTACCTACAATTTCAGAGGACTCATAGTCCCCAGTTCTTTGTACCTCATCATGTTGCCCATCTACTCTGAACTGGGTGGTAGTCCCAGGGTCATGATACAAGGGCTTAAATTGGAGAAACCAGAAATAAATCAGCCCCTAGACCTCAAGGCTGAACTATTTCAAGAACATGCAGTTACATTTCAGTGACCATGATTTGACTCATGGTGTGCTCAGTAACATGTAATTACAAGCTGCGTTCTAACGGACTTGACTTCTACTGTAACGCTTGCTTGTCCCCTTCTGAGTATAGGGGAGCTACCTCAGGGTTGGATGGTAACTAATTGAAATGATCTAACCAACCCTGATGTGCACCCCTCTGGAGAATGACTTTCTCGCATACCAGCCAAGGTTATGGTGGACTTTCTTTTCAAGGAAGGCAAAAAAACGAATGGAAGCAACCATATGCCCAAATGGCAAAGGAAATCCACATCCACGTGGGGGGAAGCTCAGTCACAGGGATTGTAGCAGTTGAAATAGGAGAGAAAAGAAGCACCGTTCTTCACATCAGAACTGAAGAGTAAATGATAGTTCTTTTCTGTCATGTGCACTTCTGAGATCTCCTCTCTTATCAACTTTCAAATATACTATATGGTATTGTTAACTATAGTTACCATGCATCCATCCATGCCATCCATCCCCAGAACTTATTTATCTTATAACTGGAAGTTTGCACTTTTGACCACCTTCACACATTCCCCTCACCCCACACTCACCTCTGGCAACCACCAATCTGTTCTCTGTTTCTATAAGTTCAGTGTTTTGTTTTGTTTTGTTTTTTTAATAGATCTTTATTGGAGTATAATTGCTTCACAATACTGTGTTAGTTTCTGCTGTACACCAAAGTGAATCAGCCATATGCATACACATGTCCCCATATCCCCTCCCTCTTGCATCTCCCTCCCACCCTCCCTATCCCACCCCTATAGGTGGTCACAAAGCACGGAGCTGATCTCCCTGTGCTATGCGGCTGCTTCCCACTAGCTAAGTATTTTACATTTGGTAGTGTATATGTGTCGATTCTACTCTCACTTCACCCCAGCTTCTCCCTCCCACCTCGTGTCCTCAAGTCCATTCTCTATGTCTACATCTTTACTCCTGCCCTGCAACTAGGTTCATCAGTACCATTTTTTTTTTTAGATTCCATCTAGGTCCATCCACCTCATTACAAATAACTCAATTTCGTTTCTTTTTATGGCTGAGTAATATTCTGCTGTATATCATGTGCCACATCTTCTTTATCCATTCATCTGTTGATGGACATTTAGGTTGGTTCCATGTCCTGGCTATTGTAAATAGTGCTGCAATGAACATTGTGGTTCATGTCTCTTTTTGAATTATGGTTTTCTCAGGGTATATGCCCAGGAGTGGGATTGCTGAGTCATATGGTAGTTCTATATTTAGTTTTTTAAGGAACCTCCATACTGTTTTCCACAGTGGTTTTTTAGGTTCCACATATAAGTGAGATCATACAGCATTTGTTTTTCTCTGTCTCACGTTACTTAGCATAATGCCTTCAAGGTCCATCCATGTTGCTGCAAATGGCAGGATTTCCTTCTTTTTTATGGTTGAATATATTTCATTGCATATATATATGTGTGTCTATATATATGTGTGTGTCTATATGTATATGTGTGTCTATATATATATATACATATATATATATACACCACATTTTCTTTATCTATTCATCTGTCAGTGGACACTTTGTTTCTACATCCTGGCTATTGTAACTAATGCTGCAGTGAACATGGGAGTGCAGATATCTTTTTGAGATAGTGATTTTGTTTCCTTCTGATATATACACAGAAGTGGAACTGCTGGATCACATGGTAGTTCTATTTTTAATGTTTTGAGGAACCTCCATACTGTTTTCCATAGTGGCTATACCAATTTGCATTCCAACGGTGCCCGAGGGTTCCCTTTTCTCCACATCCTTGCCAACTTGTCATTTGCTGTCTTTTTGATGATAGCCATTCTGATACGTGTGAGGTGACATCTCATTGTGGTCGTGATTTGCATTTCCCTGATGATTAGTGATGCTGAGCATCTTTTCATGTACCTGTTGGCTATCTGTATATCTTCTTTGGAAAAATGTCTATTCAGTTCTTCTGCCCATTTAAAAAATCAGATTGTTTGTTTTTTTGTTGTTGAGTTGTATGAGTTACTTACATATTTTGGATATTAATCCCTTATCAGATACTGCAAGTATTTTCTCCCATTCCGTAGGTTGCCTTTTCATCTTGTTGATGGTTTCCTTTGCTGTGCAGAAGCTTTTTGGTTTGGTGTAGCCCCACCTGTTTATTTTTGCTTTTGTTGCCTTTTGTTGCTTTTGGTGTTAAATCCAAATAAATCATTGCCAAGGCCAATGTCAAGGAGCTTACCCAGTATGTTTTCTTCTAGAGTTTTATGGTTTCAGGTCTCCAATATTTTAATTTATACACTTTTCTTTTAGGTACTTTTTATTTGTAAAGTCTTTTGTGGGGGCATTAAATAATTTTTTAAAAATTTATTATTAAGCAAAAGAAACATAATGCACATAATATAATATCTGAAAAATATACAAGGGCATGAATGAGTCCTGTCTCCTCTTACCACCTCAGAAGTGATCTCCTCCCCAGAGGCCACCACTCTTACCAGCAAAACTATATGAAAATTTCTGATCACAGTTCAAACACATTTTCCTACCCCAAGGTCATCACTGGGAATGAAGAAGATTGTCTGGGGCACATATAACCTCTGGGAATGCTTGTTAACTTTTCTTTCCCTCCTTTGTTGTTGTCAGCTAATCCATTTACAGAGAGGAATGAACTGAATAAAGTCATTTTCCCATCCCCCTCCCTCCTCCATCTCCAAAAGCTTTTCTATTTTCTTGGTTTCTAATCCACTGAGGACTGGGAAACCACATAACTGGACCTTCTGAAATTAAATCTTCAGCCAGAATCAAAGAGCAAGCCTAAGAAAGGCATCTCCATGAAGATGCAGGGACTTGGCTACGCAGAGGCTCTTCCCCTCTTACCTTCCGGTTCAGAGTTCTGTTCCAGGGATTGAAGTTACCAGAAAGTGACCTCCAGGTCAGGACCATGCTCCTGATATGTCTTTGCAGCAAACCAGGACTGTGACACCTTCTGACATTATATGCTGGAGGGAGCATTTGGCCACTTATCCAATTAGAACATCCAAACCATCATTATGCATTAGGTGTAAGGATAAATCTAGCTTGTTATTGTTTAATTCCTAAATGAAGGAGTTAAGCTGGACTGGGCTAAAACCTCCAGCCTAGTGTTGCACTTAATTTTAACAACATTTGACAGACATGTGGAGTCATCATTACAAATTATGATGAAATTTGAAAGAAGATTCCTTAGCAAATTACCTGTCTCCAGTGACTCATACTGAGTTTCACCAGTTCTCGGGGTTCAAACTGCCAGTCAGTTTTGTATATCTCTTCCAGTGGCAGGAATTTTAACATGAATGGATATAAAGTTGGCTAAAATTTCTTGAAAAATATATCAAAGACACAATTATTTTTAAGTTGAAGATAAAGTTAGTGGTATGTTGTTGCTTTTTTTTTTAAATCACAAAGCAGCTGTGAGATCTCTGAGGTACTTTTATTTTTTATTTTTTTTCATTTTAACATCTTTATTGGAGTATAATTGCTTTACAATGGTATGTTAGTTTCAGCTTCACAACAAAATGAATCAGTTATATATATACATATGTTCCCATATCTCTTCCCGCTTGCGTCTGAGGTACTTTTAAATTAAAAACTAGTTATTTGCTTATAAAGCTAACTTTTTTCCTATAATCATAAAATAATACATGCTTATTGAAGAATACTTGGAAAATTCAGAAATAGAAAGGATTCTTTTTATAAATTTATTTATTTTATTTTTGGCTGCATTGGGTCTTCATTGCAGTGCTTGGGCTTTCTCTAGCTGTGGTGAGCAGGGACCACTCTTTGTTGCAGTGCGCAGGCTTCTCATTGCGGTGGCTTCTCTTGTTGCGGAGCGTGGGCTCTAGGCACGTGGGCTTCAGTAGTTGTGGCACGCAGGCTCAGTAGTTGTGGCGTACGGGCTTAGTTGCTCTGCAAGCATGTGGGATCTTCCCAGACCAGGGCTCGAACCCGTGTCCCCTGCATTGGCAGGTGGATTCTTAACCACTGCACCACCAGGGAAGCCCCTAGAAAGGATTTTTAAAAATAAAATATTTGTTCACTCTTCCTCTTTTGTACCTTTTGAACTTTGTACGGTGTGCATATATTTCCTATTGACAAAATAATGAAGGACATAAATCCATCTGTTCAAATATCCTGTTTGATTTTCTTTGTTTTGTAATCACCAGCTTGTGTTGTGAACCACTGAAGTAACAGCCAACCCGCTTCACTGACCACCATAGGCATCTCTTGGAATAAACCAGGTAGTTTATTCCAGTTGCCAACTTTAACTATATTCACCCCCAGTATTTTCTAATCGTAGCCCCTATGTAGGCTTGGTGCTGAGGAAATGAATTATGAAACTAGTCTAAGCAAAAATAAAGTTTAGTACGAAAGCAAGGTCAAAAATAAAATTTAGTACGAAAGCAAGGTCAAGGATCCAAACCTAAGGTATCTATCTATTCATTCTCTCTCTCTGATTCCACAGGCCCAGTTCTTCCCTTGTAATCACAGGGCATCACTGGGGATGCAGGATTCCAAGCCATGCACTGCCCTTGTTCAAACTGACAGAAAAACAACGTCATCAGCATGAATCAATAGGAATGGTGCATTTAGCCAGGAGACTCTTATTTCTGGGGACTGGATGGGCACTTCATTTTGAAGTTTATATTAGTGTCAGATTTAGCAGTATGGCAATGTTTTCCAAACTTTGTCACAGGGAAGTAATTTTGGCATGTGTACATATGTAATGTCTATATATGTATGTATGAGTATAAAAAGTACTATAGAGTGGGTGGCTTACACAACAGAAATTTATTTTCTCACAGTCTGGAGGCTGGAGTCCGGGATGGGGTTGCCAGCATGGTTGCGCTCTGGTGAGAGCTCTCTTCTAGGACTGCAGACGGCTGCCTTCTTGCTGTGTGTTCACACGGCTTTTCCTTGGTGCTGTGGAGACAGGGAGAGAGATCTCTTCCTCTTCTTATATGGCCATCAATCCTATTGGATTAGGACCTCACCCTTATAAACTCATTCAACCTTAATTACCTCCTAAAAGCTCTACCTGCAAATGCAGTCAGATTGGGAGTTAGGTCTTCAACATATGACTTTTATTTTGGAAGTAGCATAATTCACCAGATATATATACATATATATATATATATGTATATATTACAAATTTGATTTTATATACACACTTCCAGGTATTTCACCAAAGTTTTCTCGTTTTTGATTTTATTTTATTACTGTCCCTTACTGCAGCCCTTATCCTATAAACAGAAATTGCCAATGTTCTTCTATTTTTCCTATTCTCAAGGCTCTGAGAATTGGAGCTAAGCGATAACCCTGGGTGTTGGGCAGGGACCACTGAACCAGGACTCACAACTCATGTCTTGCTATGTGATTCTGAGACTGTATCTCTCCTTAAAAACCTAAAGTCTTCCACCTGTAAAATGGGATTAATAATCTATAAACCTGTGAAAGTGTGAAGAAAGAATAGTTAATAATTTGTCGTGTAATGTTAGCTCTTTGTAATAAAAGTTTCAAAATGAAATGAAAAGATTTTAATTCAAAGGTATGAAGCTGATTGTTAAAGTTTAACAGACATTCTCAGCAATTACCATGTGCCCTAAAAACATTAACTCAGTCTCAACAACAATGGTATGAGATAAGTTATCTGTTATCACCACCTTCTCCATTTTATAGAAATACAGAGAAGCAGAGTAACTGGTCCATGGCTATAGAGCTAATTAGGAACAGAGTCAGGAGTCACATCCCGGTGGCAGCTTGGTGTTGAGAGACCAGTTACCATGCAGTCATGAACTATGAAATTGCTGCTTATTTACTTCTAATAGTGTCACTTCCTTGTTCAAAAACCTCCAGTGGCTCTTAAAGCCTAAAGTAATAAAGTAAAACTCATTTGCTTAGCAATAAAGACCCTCCAGCAACCTTTCTTTCCTGTTTTGTTCCCCATGAAAATCCTTTCTTCATCCTCCCTGCTTCCACCGTGCTCCAGCTGCACAGGACCAGTCACTTTATCTGGAACCCATTTATTCTCATGCCCCTCTCCACCTTCCACATTTTACACTATCTACACCTCCAAGGTTCTTCCAAAGTGCCATCTCCTTCATACATTTTCTCCTGCACCTCTCAACCCCAGCTGGTTGTTTTTTTCCCACAAAATTTTCTCTTTCCTCTTGTCCCTGCTTGTATTAGTTTCTGGCTTTTCTTTCCTTTTGTTACATTCCCTCCCAACTAAATGATGGGATTCTTGAGGGGTGCAATATGCTTTCTCATAGAGCTTTAAAATTTTTCATTATAATTTTAAATCATTATTGTTCTTCTTTGATAAGCAAATGTATGCAGGCTTATTGCAAAAAATAACACATTACAGAAATACATCTCTTAGAAAGTGAGATTCGTCATTATAGTCCCTCTTCCCATGCCCTAAGAGAACTGTGGCTAACAGCTTGGAATATAGTCTTTTAGACTTTTTTTCATGTAATACATATGTACGGTTTTCATTTACAGAAATGGGATTGTATTATACAGGCACCTTTGTACCATTTTTAGTCCTACTTATTTAGTATTTTTTCATATAGAAAAAATTTCGTATAGTATTTTTCATTCTTTTTTAACAGCTGCATAGTATAAGATTATACGGCATTACTGGTATTTACCTGTTCAATCCCTTGCTGATGAGAATGACAGTGATTTCCAAATTTCACTGTTATGCTGCAGCAAATGTGTATATATGTTCCAGATATACACTTCGTAGGTACACATAAACATACACTCCATCTATACTATATATATCTCCGGATGACTTTCTGTAGGACAAATCTTTGGACATGAAATTGCTAGCTGAAAAGGAAAGGAGATTCCAAATGATGATAATTATCGAAAATGTGGCGGGAAAGAGTCTTGTTTTATGTCTTCCTGAGTCCTTCACAAACTTGGTGGTTAAGAGGGGGCCAGCTCTGGCGTCAGACTGCACAGGCTTGTAACTAGGCTTGGTCTCCATGTCTTAGTCATCTCATCTATAAAATGGGGAAATAGTAGTACCTTACTCCCAGTGTTGTAAGGCTTAAATGAGACAATACATGTAAAGCAATTAACATTTAGTAAGCACCTGGAAAATAAGTAAGTACAAGATATATGGGAGGAAAAATAGTTAATAGGTTCAGATCATTGTTTGCTGAATGAATAGGACTGAATAGAACAATAGTAGTTTGAGTAATCTTTCTAGAAATGGATGGTACTTTGCTATTGAAACCAACAACAACTCTTTATAAAATGACCAGCTAGCACTAGAAGTGCGATGGCCTTGGCGCAATTCATCTTTGTGCGAAATTAACTGGCCTGAACCAGGATCAACCACTGACCTTGGCCTCTTCAGTCCCACACTTTCCCCAACGGAACTACCTGGCCCCAGCTTCAGCCTGGTACCTTCCATAATGGTTGTCTCTAAGGACAGAGCACAATGTGGTTCCCCAGAGGGTGCCCTGGCTCACCACTGAAGGTCGTTAGGGCATCTAGTTACCCAGCCGTGAACACTGAAAATGAATAGAAAAGTGCATAAATGGGTATAGAGTATAAGGCTCTCTGTTTAAATTCTTAGGTTCTGGACCAGTAGTCTCCATCTTCATGGAGAGGTTCCCACATCAATACTAGAAGATTCTGGGGGTACTCAACCCTGGGTTCCAGAAACACCTCTGCCACTAACCAGCTGCAAAACCTTCAGCAAATTGTTGAACCTCATCTTGCACTGATACAACAGGGGACTGAGATAGCTGATGTGAAAGGCCTTTTTTGACATTCCTTTCCCAATAGGCGGAGTCACATTTTCAGACATCCGGGCTGTTTATTGCACTGAAAAAAATGAATGCATAAAATCAGTCAATGTAAATACTTTCAAAATGTGTCGGAGATGGCAAAAGGACCACAGCAGGGCTCAGACTCAATTGACACTCTGTGCCACTACGGGAGGGGGTGGCAGGAGACCTCTGAGGAAACAGTGGAAATACAGGAGTCAGAGAAGAAATTGTAATCTAACTGGGGCCAGGTCCTGGCTAGCGATAAATGTGGCAGTAAACGGGGATCCCAGTGAAGTACAAGCATCACCCAAAGTGCACTGATGACCCCCACCCCCACCCCAGCCCAACACTGGAGTCAAATTGTCCCCATCTTCTCAGGCCCATTTCAAAATTCACTACTTCCTTCTCGAGGACCCCTCCCAAACATATGCGTGTGCACGCACACACACATGTCTTGTTCCTCTAAAAGTTGGTAGTACTTTGTCACTCCGTGCCATTTTCATGGCATTTCCAGGAGGGATACAAGGCTGCGTCAACCTCCTAGTAACACTTGCATCCTCTCGACGAGCTTTGCCTCCCAGGCATCCAGTACAGTAGTGCTCAGGAAATATTTGTGGCTCTGTGACTGAGTAACTCAGGCAGGCCCCACAGGGACTAGAGTTTTATGGGGTTTAATATGTACCATACCATGGAATCTGAGACTTTTTACCTCATGGCTCATACTGGAAACCATCCGTTCCAGTCGGATTTACTGGGAGCTGGATGGAATTTTGTTCCATTTCACCCTGAAAACCATAATCTAATTTTTAAATTCAAAAACATTTACATAGCACCTACTTCACGTTCGGCAGTAATCCAAACACTCTACAAATGTTAACTCATTCACTCTTTGTAAGCATCCAGATGTAGAAAATAAGGCACGGAAAGGTTGTCACTTGCTCTGGGATCAAAGCTAATAAGCACCACAGCTGGGATTCAAACCCAGGCCATCTGGTTCCAGAGTATATGCTCTGCCTGAAATTTATGTGAGTGGCAAAAATCTTCATGAGCAGATAGAAAAAAAAAAAAATTGACGTCGATGTATTTATTTCAAAGGAAATGCTTTTTTTCTTGTGTCCCCCTTTCCTTCCTCATTCAAAGCAAAATGTTCTAAAGCAAACAGTCTTTTTTCACACCTGAGAGAGCAGGTTGGTTCATTTTTGCTTTGGCAATCAAAATGGAAGAGGAAACGTGCGGTTTCATCACTGGTGCTTTCGGGGTGTGTGCTGAGCGTGGTCCTACCTTCCTCCCGGCTCGTCTGGCTGGGGCCCCCCTTCCCCCAGGCTTTGCTGCCTCAGGTCCTGGAGACTTTTTAACAGTCTGCCTTTCCCCTTCCAACACTGGGACGTGGACAAGCCTTTCCCGCAATCCCGCCCATCCAGCCTCAAGGGTCTTCTTCGGCCCTCCCCTGCGTCAAAGCCTTGTAACTGGGACTCGACCTTATCAACTATATTTGCACCAAAATCCCCAGGAATCGCAGCTCCCGGTCGGTCCTCCATCCCAGGGTCAATCCACTACGTTTCTGTGTTTCGAATGTTATGTGCCTGGCTGCATGTACATTGAAATATCTATCTCCTCACGTGCGAGGCCGGCGTCAGAACCTGACAGACGAGCCATTGATAACTGTGGGACCCAGGGCAAATTCCTTAACGTCTCTGAGTCTCGGTTTCCTCATCGTGAAGGGGATTGATACCCATAGGGTTGCAGCGTGGATCAAATGCGGTAACGCAGAGGCTGCACCGGCACCCGACAGTTCTCTTAGGTTCCTCTTGGCAATATTACTTAATACCTGCTGCTTGTCTGTTTCCCATTTTTCCCCAGAGCTCCCGCCCGCTCCGAGGGCTGGAAGGGCGTCTTTGCGCCACGCTCTGAAAAAGTCCCTATACAGCCGTTAGAACTTACGACCCCCCTGGGCTCCCGGGGCACATGCATGACAACCCGGGAGAATCTGAGATGCTTCCTTCGACGCTAACCCTAAACCCCGATGGCTGAAGGCTCCGGGTCCGGGGAAGGCCCGGCTGAAGTCGCTGGAGCGGGGTGGGGGAGGAGGTGGGTGCTTTGGGAAGAATAAACGGGGTAAAGAGTGAGCCCGCGGGCCGGCTCGTCTCCCTGTTTCTAGGATGCCCTCATCCCCGGGCCCCTTTCCCACTCGGACACCTGCTGCCCGGGGCCGGCGTCGGAAGCAGGGCCTCCCCCGGCGCGGCCGAGGTGGTCCCGGCGCGCAGCCTCTGGGGCCGCCTCCGGGCGCCCCGCCCCCGCCGAGTCCGCGCAGCCCGCGCGCCCGGCCGCACCCCCTCCCAGCCCGCGGCGCCCCGGCACCCCTCTCCGCCCCCGGCGGGCTCGGCGGAGCATTGTACTCACATCCGGGGCTGGGTTTTGCTTTAATGCGAAACGTAATTAACCCGGAAAAAAGAGCCGAAGGACAGGAGAGAAGGAGGGAGGGAGGAGGGGAGGGGAGGGAGAGGAGCGAGAGGCGCGAGAGACCCCGAGAGTTTGGCGGCGACAGACATCCCCCGAGAGCGACGGCCCGCGGGGCCCCAGAGGCGCTTCCCAGCCCGATGTAACCCACGCACCCTGCCCGAGCCCCGGCCCTGCGCGGCGGGGTAAGTGGAGCGCCCGCGCGGGCCCGGGAGCGGCGCGGCGCCGAGGGGCGGGCGGGGGGTGGGGAGCGCCCCCCTGCGGGCCGAGGGGAGGTCGCCGCCGTCCCCCGGCCGCCTCCGGTGGCCCCCGGCGAGCCCGCAGGGCAGCCCCTCCTCCGGCTCTCGGGAGCGCCCGGGGTGGCCAAGGTCGCCGCCGCCAGGGGTCGGGCTGCGGGGTGGGGCCGCGGGCAGGGTGGGGGCGGGTGTTCTGCGGAGCTGCGTTTTCTCACGTTTGCAGCGGCGAAACTTCTCTGCGGGTTCTGGCGCTGGGGCCCCGGCTCGGCCACGACTGCCCGGGCAGCGGGTAGGGGAGACGAGCAGAGAACGTGCAGGCAAGTCCCCGGGGGCACGGATGGGGCCGTGGAGACTCATCTTTCTCTTCCCCTATTACCTTATTCCGTGGCAGGCCTAGAAGCCTCCCGAGGGAGATACCTCCCTTCCCTCTGGGTCCAGCCCGGGCCCCTCGGGCTTCTGGAACTACGGACTCTGGGGTGACTTAAAGGAAACTGTCCTAAAATGCAGATTTGGTGTCAGGTCGGGAAAGCACTCGAGGGGAGCTGTCTGTCTGTCTGTCTGACGAACTTCTTCCTCACCTTACCCGCTTCCCTCTTCTGCTCCAGTTCTGAAGACTGCTATTTCATCGAATTAAAAAAAAAAAAAAAGAAAAAGAGAAAAGGGAAAAGAGAGGCCTTGTAGGAACGAAAAGTGTGAGAGGAGGCGCGGCAGGGCCACCTCACTGGGGGCGGACCCATCTCCTCCCCAGGCCAGCCCTGAACCCCCAGCCTCTCGCTGTAAGGTTTCCTTGCTACTTGGTGAATCTTCCCCTTCTAACTCCTTCTCCCGCCATCCGCCCCGTCTTTCTTTAGGACTCCAGATGGGGATTTTCAGAGGAGAGTAACCCGCAGAGAAGGGGAGGGGACAGGCATTCTACCGGGACGCCAGCGGTGACACCCCCGAGGCATCTCGGTCCGCTGAGTGGTGGTTGCACTTGGGCTGAAGTTCCAAAATTGTACTTCTGTTTTCTTAATATATCTAAGTCAATCCCCTTTTTCCTCCTTTCTGGAGCTTCATCATTTTTCTTTGTTTGGTGGCAAAGCCTTCAGAAACAGTAAAGCCAAAGATCTTGAAAGAATCGAAGTGTTTGTTTTCTATTTCAGTTGCATTCAGCTGACATTTATTGGGTAATTAAGACACGAAAGGCAGTGATGAACAAAATGTAGCCTCTGTCTTCAGGGAGCTTACCATCTGATGGAGGACACAGGCGGTACACCAGGGCCTAGGACACAATGCAGATTGCTAAAATAGAGATCCAGCATGCTTTGAGAAGCCAGAGGAAGCTTTAAAAGCCTTCTCATCCTTTCATATATTAGCCTTCACCATCGTGTGCCACTTGAACGCAGGTGACTTTTGCCATAGCTTGCAGTCTAGACTCTGTGGCCAGCCTGGTGTGTGACATCTACTAGGTGCTAAGTAAACGTTTCTTGAATGAATGAGTGAGTGACTGCAAGCGCATGAATTGTTGGCCCCTATCCAAATGGAAGAGAAGAGAGCAATGTGGTGGTGCCTCAAGCTCGTTTGAGCTGGTTCATGAGGGCTTCCCTTGGGTGTTGCCTTTGGACCTAAGTATCCTTCGCCCTCCTTGTAAGCCCCGCTTTTGACAAAGTGCCTATGGCACTCCTACTGATGGGAGCCTCGCTCACTTCACAGATGGGTAATCACCTAGGTATGGATTGGGGAACCACCTGCCCTTTGGTGGAGAGTTTGCAGTGCTTCTTTTCCCCTGTCGTTGGTGCTTGCTTCTCTCTTCTGTGTAAGGAAGTAGGGCCTGCAAATCCCATCGTGTCATCGTAGTGAGCTGAACTGTAATTCAGCTCGGTGTTTTCCCCCGAGGTTAAAATAAATCCTGGAGACATGCAGATTTTGGTCGGTGCCTACTTATGGAGAGATTCTGCAAAAATGGGAAGGGAGAATCATCAGCCCCATCAGCCAGCCACGCCCCTCCGAGCAGCCCTCCTGCTGGCTTGCCTGGTATTTGCCGAAAGTGCCAGATCACTAGGGAGCCGGGAGCAGCAGGGCCTCGATCTCCCGGATGTGCATCCAGCTGGCGCTTCATTGATCTCCGGTCTTCTTCATGGGGCAGGTGGGCAGGTGGGTGATGCCCCTGTTAAAAGGCTGGAACGCCTCAAATTAGATCTTGCTGTGGCCCCAGTGCAGTAAATATCTCTTCTGTTTCCCTGAAACTGTAGTAAGTAGTTATTTTGGCCGAGATAGTTGTGGAGCTTGGAAAAGATGATCTGGGTGCTGGGGCGTTGCACTGCTCGGCCGCTTCCCTCTTCCCACGGCTGCCTTACTTTCAGTTTTCCACGTGTCTTAGTGAGCTGGAGAGGACTCCGGCAATCCAATCTGTTAGGCTTTGGAAAGGAAGGAAGCAGAGCAAATATTATAGTGTGACAGTCTATGGCAAGAGCAGAATCCTAGCCCCTGCCTGATATAAGCCCATCATCGAGCCAGGGAATTGGCCAGGGCAGGGAGATAGGGCGGCTGGGGGGTGGGAGGGATGGGGTCCCTTGCTTCCCGTTCTGCACAGGTCTGTGGTTGCTGTAGTGGGACAGTAATTGGAAGGCCCCGTTGACCTTTACTCCGAACCTTGGGCTGCCTTTCTGCCCGGCCAGCTGAGATAAAAAGGGAGGTCCCCTTCTCCCTGAGAAACACTGGGGTTAAAGTGCAAAGGCAAGGGCTCGCCCTCCCATCAGCTAGGACTCCCTTTTGGCCATCCATTTGCGGAGCGGATCTCTGCTGCTGTGATTCTCCCACGGGCCAAGCAGGAGGTGGCTCCAGAGACCCTTCCTTGGCATCTGATCGCAGGCCTGGTTCTGTTAACTTTCAGGGTGGCCTGGCCGAGATGGAGTCGGTGGATCTCTTGGACTGTTTTTTTTTAACCTTTTGGAGAATTTTCGAGAAATATGATGGTTCTTGGAGTAGACGGAAGAGTAAGGGCAGCTTATGCCTTTCCTTATGAGGGATTCCAGCGTCACTGCCTTCCCAGCGGGATTTACTTATTGATATTTGAGGGGTGGAGACGGCCTGGCAGCTGCCTGCCCTGTTTTACCTAGCGGTGGGGGTCATGTACTACTTGTTAGGCACTACACACGCACACATCTCAACAACAACAATTACACAGTGCTTAGTCTTTGCCAGACCTCCTCTTAAGCACTTTTCACACGTTATTTCGTTTAATGCACACAGCAGCCTTTGAAGTAGGTACAGCGATTCTCTCCATTTTGCAAATGAGGAAATAGGCCCTGAAGAGTTTAGTAGAGTCTGTCTGACTCTAAAACCCATGCTCTTTCACTTCACTCCAGCACAGCGGTGGGTCACTGAAATCAGCTCGCCCTCTTCAATGGTCACGTTCTTGCAAGAGTTTTGTCAGACGCTCTCAGACCCATCCTTGTCACCTGCACGTGCTCTGTGCCACACCTGGCCCCTCCTCCGTCCCTACATCCAGAGAGGAGAGCACAGTGCCTTTAGACAGGCAGGCTTGGGCCCTTTGGACTTTCCCCCCAGCACTTTGCAAGAGGCTAGTGCGTAGGAGAAATAAGGATGCTTTCTTTTCCTTCTCCTACTGCCCAGGTTTTAGTGGGTGAGAAGGTCCAACTTTTAAATGAAGATGAAGCTCCTGTGCTGTTACCAGTAAGAAGGCCTACAGTGAAACTGAATCGCAGAGCCTAGTAACTGGATTCTGAAAGTGGGAGATCTCAGTTTTTATAGGCTATTTATAACCCCTGGGGCTGGTCCCTGTGCTGGTGAACTCTCTGGGGGGAGGTGGTCTCAGGAGCCTTGAGTCAAGGGCAGGCCTTTGTTTCATACCAGCTCTAACAACCACATTTTCTCTGAACATAGATGAGGCTGCTGTTCAGAGAGGTCAGGAGTGTTTAAAACATTTTGCTGTTTTTGGCATCTTTGTTGGAGTGGTATCAGTAGTCAGTCGTTCCTGCCGTTTCCCCAGTATTTTTTTCCCTTAAAAAATTCCTCGAGTGTCTCTTGCCCTCCATTGAGAGTTCTTGGGTCCAGGGGACGTCGGGCACCTTCTCTTACCCTCCCCATTCCTGTGGATGTCTGCATTCCTCAGCCTGCTCTTCCGCTGGGAATGTGTTCTCAGTACATTCTCTTCTCTCTCACATTATTCTCCGGCCTCAGACTATTTGGAATGTGCTCTTATGACAGCTTCAGAATGCAATGATGTTATAACGGTAGGAAATAGATGTTCCCACATTTTGGAAGTTAGAGTCTTTGGCCCAGTCTCAGAGCTGTGTTCTGAAATAGCCACGCTTGTGTTTTGTTGTTGTCATTCTTGTGTTTTTACTGGGCCCTGAGCATTCGTGGGCCCTCCGCAGTGCACCCTTCTGTAGGTGGGAGATGGAAACATAGGCGAACTCTCTGTTCGCATGGCCCATACGTTTTCTAACCTCCACACGCCAGTTCCTGTCTGCTTATTACGGTCCTCTCTGAGACCTCTGATGTCATTTCCCGATTAACTTTCTCCTGTAGAAATTTAGCAATTTCCAGTTGGTATCCCTCTCACTTACCACTGATGCTACTGTCCCCAGCTTCTACCCTCGAGGATGACAAGATAGCAGACGTTTTCACTGCATCCCTGCCCGCCCCCCTATGTTAAGAAACGCCTTCCTCACTTTTTTCTGGAGCAAAATCCCTGAAATTCCCTTTCCTACCAACGCCAAGTAACATGAAAGAAAAATAACCAAATTTAAAAATGGATTCATTTTTTTTGAGTTTTGAACTACCGGAGATTATAGTGGATTATTTCATCCTGGGGCCAATACCATTTAAGGCTTTATCTCTGTTACCACTTTCTTTCGTTTGTATTTACCTCAGAAGTATCGGGACGATCAGGCAGATGAATCTCCCTTATTTCACTCTATTTTTTCCTGTATCTTCAAGCCACATTAGAGATCTTACAAATAAGACGTCCAGTACAGTAAGCCAGAGCTTTCATGACTTAATAGCTCTTCAGCTTTTCTTTAAAAACAAAAACAAAAACCTATTTATCCATCTTTTCATTCATCTATCTAGACATTTAACTTAAAGACGTCAGTCCCATCTCCCAAGTTTCAAGAAGGACAATTCCACTGGGGGGGTCTTTGTCGGAATCCGTGCTTCTGGACGTGCTGTGCTGCAGGCTCTGTGACAGCAGAGGGAAAGAGGCACTGACTTGCGTGTGAATCTTCAGTTGACCCCCAGGACAGGGGCTCCTCTTATGAAGACCAGAGAGCAAGCAACCAAACCCACAGAGGAAAGAAAGAGCCTCTCTTAGGGGAGGCTGCAGTAGGAAGTAAGAAACCCAACTAGATTGGAGGGTGCCAAAGCCCTCTGGGTAGGTACCTATCTTTTGGGCAATTCTGATGGGTGGAACATGGCTTTATTAGATTTAAGACTTTGAAACACTAAGAAGTCCCAAGAGCGCTATAATTTAGGCAAGGTTTTGCTTGTTTATGGACTCTGGAGAATTGAGAAATTTATTCTCAGCTTCAAAACTTGTACGCTGGGGATGGGGGTGTGTGTGGAGTTAAATAGCTTTCCCTCCTGCTAAATAAAGTAACATACATTTCCTGTAGAAAATTTGGAAAATATGGAAAAAAATATAGATGTAGATAAAATTCGCCTGTGACCCATAGATAATAACTGCTAATATTTTGGTGCCTGGATGTCAGTCTTTTTCTATCCAAATATAGAAATATAAAAATAACACTTAGAGGACTGGGATCATATTCTAAATCATATTATTGTATCTTTAAAAAACTTTGGGGGAGTTTTTCCCTAATTCATTTAAAAGTACTTGAAAACATAGCTATTTAAAGATTGTGCAACATTTCCTTATGTGAATGTCCTATCACTTATTTATTATTCCCTAATCATTTGGACATTCAGGGCATTTCCAACTTTGTGTCATTATAAATTCTGTTGCAGTTGCCATCGTTTTATTTTAATCTGTATTTGCATCTTTGTTTATTTACTTGGATGGAATTCTAGAAGTAGAATTTCTGGGTCAAAGGATAGGAACATTTTTAGCTCTCTAGTTCCATACCGCCAAATTGCTTTCCGGAAAGCTTCATACTACTGTCCCGGGTGTATAAGAACCCTAGGAAGTGTCTTCAGGAGACAGCCTTCTTACTTTTCTTCCCTGCTAATGCCTCAGTCTCCCATTGGGACATGTTTTATTTTCTTAGGGTCTTGGTCCCAAGTTGTCTCTTGTATATTAATGAGCCTGATAAAGATGTCAGTTGTCTCAATTCCTAGGGGAGAATTTTATTCTTGGCTTGAATCTCCTCCAATGATGGAGGCTAAGGCACTGGAATGGGCAGTAGAGGAGATATTTGGGACGGGGATGTTGCCCTGTGCCCTCATCTCATTCGATGGTGGGCAGCCATTGATTCTTTTCTCATGAGCTTCATCTCGTCAGCGGGCAGGTGTTGGCCAGGAATCTCGGGTTAATCTGCTGATCAATGGGTAACTCCATGCAAAGTCCCTTTCTTTCTAAAAGTTTCACTTTTGGGAATTCCCTGGGGGTCCCGTGGTTAGGACTCTGTGCTTCCACTGCAGGGGGCCTGGGTTTGATCCCTCCCTGGTGGTGGAGCTAAGATCCTGCAAGCCTCGTGGCCAAAAAAGAAAGTTTCACTTTTACTATCAATTAAATATTTAACATATTTTCATTTGCAGCACATACTTAGCAACTTATGTACTAAGGAAATCTAGATGGTGTAAAACTTGCTGCTTTTCTATTTTACTTTTCATTAAGGTACATTATTTACTTATTTGAATTATTGAGATTATGTTTTGGTTTTGTTTGGGGGGTGTGTGTTTATGAAGAGAGAGAGAGAAAAGGAGAGAGGGAGGGAGGGAGAGGGAGAGAGAGAGAGAGAGAAATTGATTGTGTGCACACATAATTTTTTTTTTTGGTGTACGTGGGCCTCTCACTGTTGTGGCCTCTCCCGTCGCGGAGCACAGGCTCTAGACGCGCAGGCTCAGCGGCCATGGCTCACGGGCCCAGCCGCTCTGTGGCATAGTGGGATCTTCCCGGACCGGGGCACGAACCCGTGTCCCCTGCATCGGCAGGCGGACTCTCAACCACTGCGCCACCAGGGAAGCCCCACACATAATTTTGATTTGCATTTAACAAAGTCTAGGAAGGAATGTGAAGCAGGAAACAAACATGAAAAAATGTTCTGCCTCACTGGACGTCATTATATGTTTAAACTAGCCACAGTTTAAAATAATGAGAACATTCAATGTATGTAAGATTATAGCAATGGTAACAATATATTGCTGGCTGCAGTGTAAACAGATGAAATACTTTTAGAAAGCAATTTTGTAATAAGTCTCAAGAGTTATAAAAGTTCATAACCTATGATCTAGTCTTATTACTACTTGGAATTTATGCTGTATCCATGTGTAAAAGAAGAAAAAAGTATAAAAAGATGAATTTTAGCATTAGAAAAATTGGATATCATCTAACTGTCTAATCATGGAGAAATGGTTTAAGTAAATTATAGTAAATCCAGTCCAGTGATGTTATGCAACCTTTAAAAACACTGATTATAAAGACTGTGTAGCAACATGGAACATGTTTACGGTATAATTTAAAGTTTTAAGAAGGTTGCTTATGTGGACAGAAGCATGAAAAAGCATGCAAAAGTGAAAACAGTTGGCTAGAGTGTTTTTTTTTTTTTTTTTTTTTTAGTGGTATGCGGGCCTCTCACTGCCGTGGCCTCTCCCGTTGCGGAGCACAGGCTCCAGACGCACAGGCTTAGCGGCCATGGCTCACGGGCCCAGCCGCTCCGCAACATGTGGGATCTTCCTGGACCAGGGCACGAACCCGTGTCCCCTGCATCGGCAGGTGGACTTTCAACCACTGCGCCACCAGGGAAACCCTAGAGTGATTTTTTTTTTAATGCTAGCATTGTTATATTGTGAATTTTGCACTAGAAATGGAAAACACTGGGGAGATTGGCGTGCTTTGGAAAGACAGGGTGCTGAGTGCGGTGGGCCGAGGTCCCTTGCTGGGCACAGAGTCTGTGCTCTTTCTTGTCCGTGTGTTGTGATGGCCTAGGAGCTCCTCGCTGGGTGGTCTCGTTACGGAATTAGAGCGAAGGTGGAGGGGCTGGCCTGAGAGAGTACTGTCCGGTGCTCTGACACAGCCAGAACGCTTTGCACGCTGCCCCAGGAGATGGGCCGAGAGTCACTGTCCAGTTGAGGGACCCAGGATACGGTGGGGGTGGGCATGGGGCAACTCCTGGGGCGCATCACCCAGTGTCACCCTCCCCCCAGTATTTTTACACTGGGGAACTCGGTTAAAATGAAATTTAAGATAACAAGTGATTTTAAAGTTTAAAAGGCAGGCTAGAACTGTATAACCGAGGAGTGTCATGCAAGTTGGAAGGGACATTTCGAAGAGGTGATAGACAGTATGTGTATGTGCATCAGGGTGTCCTCCCCCTTATGGATCGGTTGCTGGCACTTCCTCTTCTCCCCTCCCTGCCTGGTTTTCAGGGCTGGGGGGGTGGTGGCAGAGTTAATCCCATCCGAGGAGCCTCTCTGGGAAAAAGGGGAGGAGCCAGCGGAGACTTGGACGATGCTGGGGGGCAGGTTGAAGAAGCAGGGAGAGGGGATTGGGGGCCGGTGGCGGCTGGCTCTCTGTACCAGCAGCTGCTGGGACAAGGGATGCACCCACGGGATGAGGATGCACTGTCAGAGGGCCGGGCTCGGGACTTCAGGTTTGTGTGTCTGCGCCACCTTTGGGTTTGTCGCTTCTGTGTGGGTGGGCTTGTTCGTTCTAACCACACTTCCCATGTGATGCTTGGTTCTCCTGCCGCCCATCCAGCCCCCACCCACCTCCCGCATGCTGATGAGCGCTGTGACTCAGCTGCTTCTCGGGACATCAGAGCAGCTTTTTTGTTTCTGGGCTAGAACCACCGTCAGGAGATGTGCACCCAGATTTCTTCTTTTTATCCTCTTTCCTTTGGGTCCCTGAGGGTCCTCTCCCGCCATGCAAGTGGGAAGCCCCCTCTGCAAGAGTAGGCTGTTGGAGGATTGTGGAAACAGTGGCTTCTCTGGCCTCTGACTTGAGAAAAAGACAGGCCCCTTGGGCTGAAGAGGGGGCACTGGAAAGGCAGCGTGAAGTCGGGTGCTGTGCTTACTGGCTGCACCCAGAGACGGTTGGCTTTGTTATCCACTGCAGTTTATACCCTTCCCCTTAGGGATGTCCCGGGTGGCGACAGTGCTGAATCCCCCGGAACGTCTGTCTCTGTGGCTGCGCTGGCATCAGGGGAATTTGCTGAGTTTTCTTGGGGGTTGGGTGCACCCTCAATGCAGGGCTGACCCAGCCTTTCTGCCTGGGACTCCTGATTTCCCCTGATTCCCTGGGGGAAGCTGCATCCTTTCTCAGGGATCCGCTTCCTCCCCAACCAGCGCTGGGCCTCTCCCTCCCCATTTTTGACCCTACCCCTTGGCTTGAACCCATCTCTCTCCCTTTCCTGAACTCACTTTGGCCAGTGGTGAGACGGGAGCTGGGATGGAGGCTTAGTTTGGGGAGGTACTGAGAAGCTGGGGATCTGGCCACAGGGACCTCTGACCACGTGATGCACTGCGTGCAGGGGTGTCTCCCTCCTGGCCCTCACCCTCGGGGTCCTCCTCTCCCACTGTGCTGCTACTTCGTTTTCCTCTGCCCTCTTTCTAAACCTCCTCTTTCCACTTTTTCTCCTTTTCTCTCCTCCTCTTTTACTCCTTTCTAGCTGTGCTGTTTCATCTGTGTCCTGTTTCCCTGCGTGCTTTCCTTTTTGTCTCCCATCATTGCCCAGCGAGTCGCCGCGGGATCCCCTGACCCGCCTCCCTTCTGACTGAGTCATCTGCCCCGTTGGGATTCTGCCTGACCTTACCTGGAATCAAGGGATTCACTGTTTCCTGGCATCCTGGTGTGTGAGCAGGGTATTTTTTTCTTGGGGCAGCGTCTCAGCACCGCAAGGCCCCGCCACCATCCACATCCTTAGAATTCGCCTCGTCTTGTGGGAATGTGTGTCTCTGCATGTGGGACTTTCCTCCTGGCCAGGAAGCCTGCGGGCGTGGCATCTTGGTAGCTCAGGGGCTCACCCAGGGTCATGGTGCAGAGCACGGCCCGAAGCCAGCTGTCTCTCAGCTGTGCTTAGTCATAGGCTCAGGGCCATGGCGGGCTTGGGTCACAGTGAATTTTTGCTTTGTTGGAGCCAAGCAGGACCAGGGGTGGGTGGGGTGGGTGGCGTCTGTCCTTGAAGTTCTGACTGTCACGTGGGGTTTTCTAACCCTTGGGCACCGTGTCGCACTTCTGCAGTGCCTTGTGCGTCCAGGTGGGGTGTAGCTGCCTGTTGGAGGGTGCTTTTCCTCTTGGGGAGGAGAACAGAGCTCCTGCCTTTTCCTTTGGCTCTTCAGACAGACGGAAGGGAGCCAGGAGAGGGGAGGCCTGTCTGAGGGTGCGGAATGTCTCAAATCGCCGGACCCTCTTCTGCAATCAGGAAAGTGTTCAGGTTTGGGCTTTCTTCTGCTCCCTCATTCCTTCGATTACAAGTGGCTTCTGGGAAATGGCAAAGTGAAGGAAGTGATCCTGGGGCTGAGGGGTGTGGCCCTGCCCCAGGAACCCCTCGGATTTGATTCCTTGGTACCTTCATGGAGCTGGAGGGGCTGCTCTTCACACCTGAATTCTCGGCAGAGTTTATCCAGGTGTTTGCACGGGAGCTTAAATCCTTTCTGCAATAGTTTCTTTACATATAAATTGGGTCATAACCTACTTTACAAGGCTTTTCTGAAGAGTGATAACAATACCTAGTGTTTATGAATGCTTTGCCTGTCACGTACTTAATTCTCGCCAAAATCTGGTGTGGGTCCTATTATTATCCCCATTTTACCGATGCAGAAACTGAGGCATGGAAAGATTAAACAGTTGGTGGTCACACAAACATCAGTAAGTGACTAGAACTGGGATTTGAACCCAGGCCCCTGACCCAGAGTCTAGACTCACATCTCCCATGCGTGTAAAGTTGCCTGGCACTCTGCTTGGCATGTAGTGGAGCCTCAGGAACGTTAGTTGAATTAATGGATTTTGGTGACTGTTCATGGAACAGAGCTGACAGACGTTTCCAGGGTCTGGTTGGGGTGGGACATCTGGGGCCCTGGGGAAGGCCACCAGTGGGAGAGGGTGGCAGCCTCCCTTCTGGCAGAGGGGCGTCAGGCCAGAGTGAGGCACCCGCTTTACTCTCCTTCTCATGGCCCCTCTCTCCCTCCTGCCACACAGGGTAATGTGAGCAGAGCCCAGGAATGCCTTATGTGGATCGGCAGAACCGAATCTGTGGGTTTCTGGACATCGAGGAGAATGGGAACAGCGGCAAGTTTCTGCGGAGGTACTTTATTCTGGACACGCAGGCCAACTGCCTTCTCTGGTACATGGACAACCCCCAGGTGAGAGGTGGTATGGGGAGGGGCAAGGTGGCCGGCCGCCCATCGTTGCTGGGGGGATGCACACAGGGTTAGCCTCAGGGGCTCCCTCTGTCATGGGCAGCCCCACCTGCTGGTCAGGAGGGAGGGAAAAACCCCACAAAGGCGCGCGCGCGCGTTCACACACACACACACACACACACACACACACACACACACACACGCATACACACACACATGCATACACACACGCATGCACGCATACCCACATGCACAGGAAACCATCCCAGACCTTAGCTGGAGGAGGAGGAAGCTCATCTCTCTCCTGCCCCTGGGGATCTGGTGCCTTTTCTCAGGCCTAGGAATTTAACCCTTGCAAAAGTCCGGCAGAGGCCGGCTGGGCTGGATGCAGGCTCTGAGGCATGGCTTCCTTCCTCTTACCTGTGTCAGGAGTGCAGCCTTGTGACCACTCCTGCTCTTCCAGTCTGGGGCTCCTGCCCAGCAGAGAATTGACCTGGTTCCCTGAACTGGACAAAGGTTGGACCTGTTTGGTGTCCTGCTCAGGGAGTCATAGGATCCTGGGTGGGAGGTGACTTTGGGGGCCACCCAGTTTGTGACAGATGAGAAACTGAGGCTCACATTGGAGTTGACTTTGGCAAGGACGCGGCAGAACGGGGTGACTCACTTAGCGTTCTGGGGCATCAGGCACGAAGACGGCCCCCGAGGCTTTACTGCTGTGCCCGGGAATCCCTTGAGTCATCACCAGTCTGGGAAAAAGTTGCTCTGCTCCTGATTTGGGATCTCAGGTCTTCTTTTCTGGCGCTCTGAGTGTTGTTCAGTCTTCCCTTCCTGCTGCCCTGGAGCAGTCTGGTGGGTCCCACACCCCTTCCCGCCCCAAGGCCTGGCGTGGCCTGTGGACCCAGCAAGGTCGTGGGTCACAGCCCTGTTGGGGCGGGAAGGGGTGTGGGCTGAGAGCTGGCTCTCGTTCAGAGACTTGGGCAGAGGAGAGTCTGAATGTTAGGGGAGGGGTTTTGCTTTAAGAGGTGAAGTGGAAAAAATTCGGGTACTCACCCTCTAGAGGCCTTTGGCATTTGTCCTCCGGATTTGATGGCTGAGAGAAAATGCTATAAATACAGACAATGTACTCAAGTCACTGCCACTAATCACCTTCTCTGGGAAAGACTTAACCCTAAGTAGAAGCCCCATGTTTCACCCCACATCCCTGGTAAACCCTTCTGTGGGCTACTTTCATTTAACGTGCTGAGCGTGCAGAGTGAAACCTACACACAGACCCTCCCATCCTTGACGTACCTGGAATGCTCACCTCTTACCATGTTTTGGTCTTGGGTTTGCCTTTGGGCTCTGCTACATCATTTTCCCTCCATTGCTCTGCACAGGTGCCCACAGCTGGGCCAACACATCTACTATGAAAGGAAGTAGCATTTAAGGTGCTGCCTTCCCACCGTTGGAGGGATTGGAATCAAGTCTTTGTTGCCAGTACAGTTGGCTTCTGATGGGCCAGGGCTGAGCCCCAGGCTGGGGTCTCTGGGTCTCCTCTTTTCCCTTTTCTCCCTTTGTGTCCCTTCTCCTGCTCACCTGCCTTATTAGCTCAGGTGTTTCGAATGGATTTTTGTCCTGATTTACCTGCTTAGTGCCATGCTTCCTGCCTGGACTGTTGTTATCGGAAATTCACATGCTTGGGGAATCCTGCCCAGCTGTTGCCAGCTCCCTCCCCCTGAGACTGGACCCTCCTTTACGCCCTGGGCCACAGGCTGAGAGTCTTGCTGTTGGCGATGGATCACCCAGGACCACACTGCCACCGTCTCGAGTCTCAACTGTTGGCAGTGCTCGGGATTTCCCTTGCTGTGTCCTGCCCTCTGATTTGGCTGTTCCTTGGTTCCAGAACCTGCACTTCCCTCGGGCGCTGTGCCTCAGGTCGCCTTGCAGGGGTCTCTGGGGTCAGCCTCTGCGGCAGGTCGCACCCTGCCCAGGGCAGCCTCCTGCACCTCTCTGCCCCCTGAGCTGTCAGGATGCTCTTTGTTCTAGAGCCTTCTTTGAGTTTGAGTTACAAATAGAACTTGTGGTCCCTGCTCGAGATTCTTTACATTTTCCCTGGAAGCAGAGGTTTTAGTTGGCTTGGCAGATGCCTAAAAAAGGAGAGTCTTGCTGTGACATAGCAATAGTTCAGAACATTTTACTTCTTCTTCTTCAGTGGTTAGCTTAGCACTTTGTTGTGTTAACGCCAAACAGCCGTTCCAACTAAAGGGTAGATCTTTTTTGTAAGTTGTAAAATGGTATCAGTGAGCATTTATTAATACGTGCCACGCGCTGTTTTAAAGACTTCATTGGGTTTTTTTTTTTGAGTATATAAATGATTTTATTGCATAACAGTTAGTAGGCATTTTGGATACAGTTACTCTAATTTGGGACTTCCCTGGTGGCACAGTGCTTAAGAATCCGCCTGCCAATGCAGGGGACACGGGTTCGATCCCTGGTCCGGGAAGATCCCACATGCCGCGGAGCAGCTAAGCCCGTGCGCCACAACTACTGAGCCTGCGCTCTAGAGCCCGCGAGCCACAACTACTGAGCCCACGTGCCACAACTACTGAAGCCCATGTGCCTAGAGCCCGTGCTCCGAAACAAGAGAAGCCACCGCAATGGGAAGTCCGTGCACTGAAACGAAGAGTGGTCCCCGTTCACCACAACCGGGGGAAGCCCACGTGCATCAACGAAGACCCAACGCAGCCAAAATTAAATAAATAAATAAATTTATTTTAAAAAAGCAATTAGTCTAACTTTAAGACTTTTTCTAAATAAAACATTTAGAAAAATGTTTTTATTATCTCACTCTCTTATATTTTTATTTATTTATTTTTATTGGAATATAGTTGATTTACAATGTTGTGTTAGTTTCAGGTGTACAGCAAAGTGAATCAGTTATACATATGCATATATCCACTCTTGTTTTAGGTTCTTATCCCATATAGGCTCATTGGGTTTTCATTTCATTCCGACAGGTCTAGTTGGTAGGCATCATTATCCTCATTCTAAAGGTGAGGTGGGTGAAGCAGAGAGGGAAAGAAATTTGCCCATGGTTTTGTCATAAGAACGTGACTGAGCCAGTATTCTAACCCTGGCCGTCTGAATCCAGCTCGCCTGCTCTTATTGCTGAGAATGAGACAGTCATCCTAACGCTGCTTGGGAGGAAGGAGAGCTCTCAAAGGTGAGTCTGTGATTAAGAAAGAGAAGCTGGGGGACTCTCAGGGCTGGGAGGTCCTCTAGAGGGCAGGTGGTTGTCTGGCTTTTGATCCAAGTGTCCAGCATTTGATAAATGTGAGCTCATTGAATGAACGAATGAGGCTATCAGAAGGGACGCCTCTGTGAAATGCAAAGTGTCCAGCACTGCTCTCCTGGGACTGGGGATGGAGTCTATACCCAATGCAAGCTCTGCAGAGTGGGGAGAAGCAGGGAGCCAGGAGTCAGGAGGAGATGGATGGGAGGTGACCCAGAAAAGCAAACTGGGGTGGAGGGGTTTGGCCTTTCCCTGTGGAGAAGGACATTGGGGACTGTGTGTAGTTACTGAACATCTTAAGTTTCTAAGGAAAAGGAGACACCTGATAGAACAGTTTAGGTATTTAATAGGCATTAATAAGCAGGATTCTTTCTGAACTCAGGTCTTTGACCTTTGCCTGTTTAAACCACTTGGAAGTCGGTGCTTGGGAGCCTGTTTTTACTACCACTGCTACTAGTATTACTAACTGCAGGTTATACTTACTGAGCGGTTGCCATATACCAGCCATTGTGCGGAATGCTTGGCGTGTGTTATCTCATTAGGTCCTCCCAGTAATCCTGGGGCGCGGGGACTCTCACTTTCTCTGCAAGGTGCAGAGATGGTCAGCGGCTTTGTTCAAGGCCATGCAGGTGGTAAATGCCGAGCGGGCCCTGGAGCCAGGTCTGTCTGACTTAAGCGTCTGCACGCCTCATTGTCTGCCTCTTTCCTCCAGCGGATATGTGTGGTCCGTCCTGTGCAGGGTCCTGGAGATGGTATGGAGGGGAATTCACCAGGAAGCTTCAGGTTTAGTTGGGGAGGTGAAAACAGCACACATAAAACTACAGTGCTAGTGGTTGCTGAGGGGGGAGGGGGGCAGGGGAGGGATGGAGTGGGAGTTTGGGATTAGCAGATGAAAGCTTTTATATAGAGAATGGATAAACAACAAGGTCCTACTGTGTAGCCCAGAGAACTATATTCAATATCCTGTGATAAACCACAATGGAAAAGAATATGTTAAAAATAAGAATGTATGTATATATACACGTATAACTGAATCACTTTGCTGTACAACAGAAATTAACACAACAGTGTAAATCAACTAGACTTCAATAAAAAAATAAAATAAAATAAATTTACTGGTAAACAACAAAAACGAAAAACAAAACCCTACAGTGCTAAAAATCCCAGTCCCTCTTTATTTATTATTTTAAAATAAATTTTTAAAATTCATTCATTTATTTATTTATTTTTGGCTGCGTTGGGTCTTCGTTGCTGCACACAGGCTTTCTCTAGTTGCAGTGAGCGGGAGCTACTCTTCGTTGCAGAGCACGGGCTCTAGACGCACGGACTTCAGTAGTTGTGGCGCATGGGCTCAGTAGTTGTGGCTCACAGGCTCTAGAGCGCAGGCTCAGTAGTTGTGGCGCACGGGCTTAGCTGCTCCGCAGCATGTGGGATCTTCGCGGGCCAGGGAATCGAACCTGTGTCCCCTGCATTGGCAGGCGGATTCTTAACCACTGTGCCACCAAGGAAGTCACCCAGTCCGTCTTTATAACAAGGTAGCGTATCATTAAAGTGAACAGCCCAGATGCCAATAGTTTGGGTGAAGGAGAAGGGGTTGCAGTTTTCCCCTGCGGTCCAGGGAAGATGTAGAGCCTGGAGGTGGAGTCTCAGATGGAACGGTCCCAGGCCTGGGAGACAAGAGATCAAGGATGAGGTCCTGGCTCTGCCACTGAGTTGTTTTGTACGTTAGGCA